GTTCACAGCAGAGAAAACCTGAGTGACACAGCAATGCATGAAAAGCTCTCGAGCTATACGGTAATCAGGAAAACCAACATTTTTGAAAAACTGAGAAAGTCACAGTGAAGGAAAAACGAAGAAAGAGAAAAGAATAATATGAAGTAAAGAATATTAGGAAGTAATAATCGTGAATTACGGTATTTCATAAAAGGCACATTGGAAATACAGTTAATATAATCCATAGGGCCTATAAGTTTTTGTTTCGGTTTTGGTGAGTCAGGGTCTCACTCTGTTGCCCAGACTGGAGTGCACAATCGCAGTCACTACAGCCTCAAACTCCTGGGCTGAAGGGATCCACCCTCCTCAGTCTCCCTAGTAGCTGGGACTACAGGGGTGTGCCACCATATCCTGCTAACTTTTTTCATTTTTTGTAGAGATGGGGTCTTACTATGTTGCTCAGGCTGATCTGAATTCCTGGGCTCCAGCAATCCTCCTGACTTGGCCTCCCAAAGCACTGGGATTACAGGCATGAGCCACTGTGGCTGGCCAGGGCCTATAAGTTTTAAAACCAAATAAGTAAAACCAAATATGTAATTATAGTCATATAGTGGTAGTTACTGTTATAAATATATATGTAGATACAGCTATAGCTAGAATTTAGGGGGTAAAAATCAACACAAAGATAACAATTCTTAAGTTGTTAATTTTCAAGTAGTTAAAACTCTTATGAGCATGCATTAGGAAGGGCAGTGTGAGAAAAACAGTGTCCAGGGAGACCTTGCAAGGAAGACTAGTATTTTGAATGTCCAGTCAAGGAGAAAGAAATGTCAATAAAGGAAGATGGCTTTAGTCCTGAGCGATCTAGAACTTCTGAGCTTCTAGAACTGTGAGAAATACATTTTTGTTGTTCATTAGTCACACAGTCTATTGTGGTTTGTTATAGCAGCCTTAATGGCTAAGCTGAGGGACTGAGCTAGCTGGCTAGGACAGTCTGGAGCCACACCCATCCACATCTCCCACATGGATTTCAACACACTGGACTGTATCTACAGTAAGACAACAGTCCTATATGATGACAACACACCAGACAACAGTACTCTTGCTCCATGGCCTAACAACTTAATTCCACAGAAGCAGCTTAGAAATGTCAGGAGAAATGAATAGATCTCTTTTGCTCCTGAACAGAATGCATTTATCCATTTGTACTTCTTTTGTTTTGTGCTAAGTAATTAAGTTTCTAAACTCTCACTCTAAAAAAATAAATAAATAAAATAAAAACAAGATACTGCTGATCTGAGAGAAATATAAATGACCACTGAACATAGAGTCTCAATAAACCCTGAGAACTAAAGCAGACCTTGAATTTCTTCCTCCCTACCAAGTTATTTTCAAGGAAGAGGCATTATGTCTGGGGTCTTTGACTAACTTGACTGCTAGTCACCCTTGAGTCTCATAATATCTTAACACTAAACATAATAATATTTTAAAATAAAACCAGGAAATGATTAGATAATAAATTATCTACAGAGGGTGGTCTAAAAAGCACTATCGAGAATTTGGCTCGATTTCCCTTTGCTGGATTCAATCTAAGCATGCTTGTCTTACATGTCAATTTTAACCAAACATAAAAGTCTTCTTAAAACAAGTTTATCTTTATTAAACTTAACCGTAGTCTCTGATTAGCTCTTTGAGACTTAAACAAAATATATTATGGTTCCTTTTCTTCTTGATGGTATGTCAGCTACATACAGGAAAAACCGTATGTCTCAGATCCCATAAAATGCCCTAGAATTTCTTCCATGAACTTTGGAAAAATAGGTGTTATACTTAATTTGATCCTACATATGCAGTTAATGATAAATTAAAAGTGTTTACCTGCTTCATGAAAGAATCAGGATTCCCTCCAAGTTTCTAACATGAGGCAACTATTCAACTTCCTACAAAAATATCATTTACAACCTTTCATTTATGCTGACATTTTATATTTGAATGTTGCGATGACTTCAGTTCAAATTGGGCAAGCATACTAGACTTGTCACTAAAGCATCAGGGATCTTGCTGTCATAGATTAGCGAGTGGCATAATGTTTCAGCCACAGGCTATGTAATTCTATCTAATTCTGTGTAGTTGTCTTCTGTACACAGGGAGGGATTTAAATCCACAACTTCTGTGCTTTTTTATATGTGAAGTAGCAGAAGATGACAAGAGCTCACAAGAGGTTTTGCCTGGACAAGGAGTGAGAGACAGTTGTCCGTCATTTTATCCTGTTTCACCTGATGTTTACCCACTAAAGTTCCATCCTAATATGTGATGTGGATGGCCATGGTTTCTGGTTGTTACCTCTCAGACTCACTTCTTGCTACTCTTCTTCTTTTCTTCTTCTGGCTGTGACGAACTGCTCCTTATTTGACCTCAAACAAACCAGGCACACTCCCACTTAGAAGCCCATAACTACTTGTTTCCTTTTTCTGGAACGTTCTTATGACAGATATCTACATGGCTCACTCCCTCACTTCATGAAAACCTTTTTTCAAATGTTACCTTCCTGATGAGATTCATCTCGGGCAGTCATGTCCAACCCATGGACCCGGTTCACATGTAGCCTAGGACAGCTAGTAATGTAGCACCCCCAAATCTTTTAACATCAAGTAGTTTTTTAGCATTTATTTTGTCCATGACCCTATATGTAGTTCCATTTTTGAATTCCTCAACCACAAGAAATTCATGACATTGTTTCTGGCAGCACATACATTTGTAAGTAGCTGTTTTCAATTATGAAACACATGAAGAAAAAAATTCAAACGAATATTTCTGACAAACACCTTGAGAACCCATTAAGAACTGTGGCCATTTCCATCAAGCCAAACGTTGATAGATTAGTTTTACAAAAGCAAGGTCAAATTTCTTACTAGTGTTATATTGTTCTTGTTTATCTAAACTTTATAATAAAAATATAAAAAGTAAAAGAAATCTTATTATTAATCTACATTAACTATATTATTAATATATAATTTATGTGTGACCCAAGACAATTCCTTTTGTATTCGATAAGGCCCAGGGAAGCTAAAAGGTTGGACACCTCTGATTTAGGGCATCTTATTTCAAACTGCAATTGTTTACCTGCCTGCCACTGTGGTCTTCCTAATCTCCCTAGCATGAACTAGTTCTTTTTCTTTTAGTTCTATATAGCGCTTATCACTTTGCAAAGTATTATATAACTTTTTTCATTTTTATTTCTTTTTTTTCTTTTTTTTTTGAGTTGGAGTCTCACTCTGTCGCCCAGACTAGAGTGCAGTGGCACGCTCCCAGCCACTGCAGCCTTCACCTGCTGGGCTCTGACGATCCTTCCGCCTCAGTCTTCCAAGTAGCTGGAACTACAGGCGCGTGCTACCATGCCCAGCTAATTTTTTTGGTTTATTGTAGAGATGAGGTCTCGCTAAGTTGCCCAGGCGGGTCTCGAACCCATGGACTCAGGCAATCCACTCACCTCAGTCTCTCAAAGCGCAGTTTTACAGGCTGAGCCACTGAGCCCGGCTTTTCATACTTATTTCTTATTGTCAATCTTTCCTTGCTAAAATGCATGCTCCAGAGAAGTAGGGATCTTCATCTTGTTTGATGATACATCAGAGCTTTGAAAACAATCTCCGGCACATAGTTAAGTGTGCAACAAATATATGATGGATGAATAAAGGAATGAATGAAGGAACTTGATAGAATATCATAAAACACTAAGTTGTAAGATCTACTGGCCATTTGAATTCTGGTCACCATAATATCCACAACACCCAGGATAGTGCCTGGCAAGGCTATTTTTTGAACGAGTAAAAAAGTGAATAAATGTTACGGGGCAGTAGGAAGGGTTCTTATAACCTACATAAACATTAATGAAAAAGAAATTATATTGTACAGGCTAGAGGTACTTTCATGTTCAATATCCTGCCCAGTTTTTTAGCTGCATGCAGATCATAAAATTACTGGGGTGCCACAAGAAAGATTTTTTTAAATAATTACTTGATACATCCAAAGAACTACAACTTAAGAAAAAGTCCCAACAAAAGTGACAATACCTCTTAACTCAAAAACATATGAACATGATTTTGTCTGTGACAGAAAGGAACAGGATTCCACTTCAGTATGAAACTACTCTGTTCAGTGCTATGTTCTAGGGTTGTAATGGGATGTACCTGGCTTTGGAGTCAGCCAGACCTGTGTCAAACTGCCTCCACATCATGGTCTAAGGCTGCGTGACTCTCAGACAGTTACTTCCTCTTTGGGTCCCTATTTCTCAAATTTTAAAATAATATCCACCCTTCCAGAACTGTGAAGCTGAAAAGGATGTGTCAAGTGAAATGTTCAGTCGACATTCCAAGAAATACAACTCTGTCCTCTATGTCCCTCCTATACCTGATTCTAATGGTTCTATTCTAATATTGGTTCTAAAAATTCTATTGCATATTATAATAGCATAATAATGCATAACTGCATATTATAATTCTATATAAGATTTTGTTTTGCTCATCCAAGGTCTTACTATTAGATGACTTTGTCCCCTTAATTTATTTTTGCATTTTACACTGGCACTGCACAGTAGAAAAATGCCACAAGAAATGGAATTGAAGTACAGGCCATTTCAGTTCTTTCTTCAATGCAAATCTAGCTGGTGACAGCCATGAGTGGTTATTAATATCGAGTTCCTTAAAAATTATAGCATTCACCAGAATATTTACCAAAAGGAAAGAGAAATGATTCATAAATCACCCACTATTTACATTTGAAAGAAGCTAATGGTGTATATCCCTGATAAGTTATGATTTGATTACTAAGCAAAAGTGACCATTAAATTCTGGCTTACAATAATAGCCTAGCTCATTACTTGGAAATATTTCTTATTGAAATGTGATTAACATGTAACTTCTGGAATTAAAGGATAAGCAAATTAGTAACCACTGAAAGTGCTAATTTTTGGTTGCCTACTTAGATCTTTAACAATATCATTTGCACGATGAAGTAAATCTTACTGAGAAAGGAACACCTCAGTAATCTGCATAGTCTTGGAAGTCCAGATTTGAAGCTCCAGGATACAAAACACGCACACTGTATGAAATGGAAATGAAATCACTAAAGGATTAAGAACTTTGTCAGGTTCATACCACTTCTAAGTGGCAGAGCTATGATTTGAACTTCTTTAAGAGAAGTCAGTTAAGGCTACAGGATTTATAATCAGAGAGATGTGCATTTAAGATTGCCTGGAGATCTTTTTCTCCAGCAGATTCAGAGAATCAATGCTTTTATCTGTTTTCTGTATGTTCCTTCATGGAAAACAAAAATCTTCCTGAGAAAAAAGTTACCTATACCAAAATATAATTTTCAAAAAAGTAAAAACATGATCCTCATATAAAAATGAAAGAACAAGTGTAAAAATACTCTTTAACTCTTTAATGAGGGAGCCAGCAAGATAAATATGCTAATTCAAAAGCAAATAAGAAAAATATATAGACAATGAGACAAAATTTTGGAATAAGTTCTCTGTGTCAAATACAAACCTAGATGATGTTCTACAGGAAATATATCTCTTTTTGTGGTCAGAAATCATTTGAACTTTACTGGACAAAAATATGCAGGTTAACATGTAACAACATAGAACTTAGGCTTTTAATTAATAGCATTTAGTGAACAAAACAAAGTTGCATTCCCTAAATTAGTATATCATCCTTGAGTGGTCTTGTTAATCAGTGCTCTTCTATGACATTTAAATGACATGCTACCTTTTTTCTGCTTTATTTCCAAGTTCCAATGCCTAGTTAGGATCTTTCCAGAAGCAGAAAACTGACAAACAAGTGCAATGAAGATACTAATGTTTTGTCTACAAATGGCTCTGTAGTTCACCATTTTGTAATTTACAAAATTGCCTAGATGGTGAAAATGGTACCTGGATCTTTCTGATACAAGAGGAGTGAATGTTGTAGTCTAGGAATAGAAACCAGATCTCCCCTCTAAAACTGTGTGACTTAAATATATATTCCAAATGAAAATGATCATTTTTGTCAAAGTACTTAGTATCATCATGAAAACCTGAGAAGGTCTGCACACCTCCTCTCAAACAGCACTGAAAAACCTCTGCAAGGAAGGAAAAACGATGGCTTGAGAATGACATTCCTGATCCGGATGGAAAGGCAAACAAATCTCCTTGTAGTGTTATGGCATTTCTTAGTTTGAATATGGATCTCTGACCATCATAAAGACAAATGACAAAGCTTGGCCCAATGCAGCTAGTAACACAGTCAAGGGTAAAATTGGAAAGACTCGTTGTGTGTGACTACTTTAGAATGAAGAGCCTTGCTTCACGTTTGCTGAAACCAAATCAAGAAGGAGAATGTTGGAGCTGGTCTACTGCAGCAAAGCAGCATACATAGTCTACACAGGGAGTGCTATAATCTGTCTGTTTTTGTCCCCCTAAAATCCATACGTCAAAACCTAATCCCTGGCCAGGTTCAGTGGCTCAGCCTGTGATCCCAGCACTTTGGGAGGCTGAGGTAAGTGGACTGCCTGAGCCTGCAGGTTCGAGACCCACTTGGGCAACTTGGTGAGACCTCATCTCTACAATACATCAAAAATTAGCCGGATGTGGTCATGCGCTCCTGTTGTTCTGGCTACTTGGAAGGCTGAGGTGGAAAGATCGCTAGAGTCCAGCAGGTTGAGGCTGCGGTAGCTGGGAGCGTGCCACTGCACTCCAGTCTGGGTGACAGAGTGAGACTCCAACTCTAAAAAACAAACAAACAAACAAACAAACAAACCCAAAAAACCTAATCTCCAAGGTGATACTATTAATGGGGGGGGGGACTTAGGAGATAATCAGGTCACGAGGGCTCTGACCCCATTAAGAGGATTAGTGCCCTCATAAAAGTAATCCCAGTGAATATGCCTGCCCTTTCCACCATGTGAGGACACAGCAAGAAGGCATCATTTACCAAACAGAAACGGAGCTCTGCTGGAACCTTGATCTTGGACTTTCCAGCTTCTTGAATTATAAGAAATACATTTTTGTTGCTTGTAAGCCACACAGTTTGTGCAGCCAAAACAGTCTAAGACAGAGATTATCTTTGAACTTCTGTCTCAATCATTTCGATGTACAGGATGAAGGCCTCTGAGATTTCTGATTGCCTTGGTTTCTCTCTGCATTCGGTTAAAGAGTATCTATAGAATCACCTGAGCCCAGCAGGTCAAGGCTGCAGTGGCCATGAGTGTGCCATTGCACTTCAGCCTGGGCAAAAGAGTGAGACTTCAACTCAAAAAAAAAAGTGTCTATAAACTCAAGATTGTTGTATGTCACCCAAATGTCTGTATTTGCATTCCTTGTTCTACTGATACTCACTTGCAAAAAATTCCTGAATTAAAGTGACTTGTATTAAGAAACTTTAGTTGGAATCAAGGAACCAAAGAAAACTAACAGTGGAAAAGGATTTCTTTCTATCCAGGCCAGGAATTATCAAGCACCTGAGAATCAAGATTTTTATTCATATTTCTTAGAATTATTCAAACTTTGTGACTTTTGAATACCTAACTTAACATGGTGGTAAAACAAACTGATATTTATTAAAGAACAAATGACTTCTTGCTTGATTTATTCCCCAGTAAGTGTGATGTCTAGGATTTGTAAAAACAAACTAAACAGATGTAACAAAATAATATTTCAGGATATTAAAGGGCTGCCATTCTCAGAGATTACTTGCTTCTAAGATCTATTTCTCCACTACTAAAGCAGCACAGATAGCTTTCTCTACGTACTGCCCTCAGGGAAAGAGTAAGACAGGGAGAGCTTCAAATAGGTTTTCAAAATTCTTAGCAGAGACAGCAGTCTTTAAAGTCAGAATAATTTAAATTCAAAAGAAAGGCCTGGGACTTCCCAGATAAAAAAAAGATGTGTAGGTTCTATTAACCAAAGCTTAAAGTATTTAAAGCACAGAATTTGTTCCCTAAGTCTGGAGTTTGGGGGTGGGGTGAGAGATGGCTAATTAGGACCAGTAGCTGCTTTCTTATCCTGAAGGCCAAGGATTGGGGCAGGACAGACAGCAGAGGGCCACCAGAGAGTGAACAGGGCAAGGCCACGGGAGCAGCAGTGTGTGCCAGAATTTTTTTTTCCATCTATATTTTAGATTCAGGAGTTACATGTACATGTTTGTTGCATGGACATACTGTGTAGTGGCGGGGATTGGGTCTCAGGTGGTCCATTCCCCAGAGAGTGAACATTGTACCCATAGGTAATTTCTGAGCCCCAACTCCCTACCCCACTTTCCTCCTTATTGCTGTGGCTAGTGTCTGCTATTTCCATCTTTCACATCACTTCGGGTTGCCATGCACGCAGATAGATGTCTATTATCTTTATTCCTAACAAAAAGATGTTATGCATGTCTCTCCAGCTCTCATATTCTGCCTCTTCCTTAACCTCCCCTGTTCCCCCAGAATTTGCACCACTTTCTGCAAAGATGAATCTCCTCGCCAAGCTCCATGAGCTGGGTTGCTACAACACAGTTTCCCAGAGTGGGATCCACAAAACTCAGTCTGTGAAACCCAGACTCCTAGATTCACCCTACAGGTTGACCAATTAAAGCTTTTATAAGCATTCTGTGGACAACAGGAGCACATCCTGGTGTTTCCCTACAGAACTGGACCATAGAAATCCACTAAAACACAGATTTCTCTCTCCTAGGAATCATACTGACATCCTGTGAGGCTAGCTGTTCCTTGAATTGTGCTTGGGGACAACTGGATCACCTCCCCAGTTGTAGTCAGCATGTCCTGGGTTTGCCTCCTGTTCTAGGTCTTAACCCAAAAAGGGAGACTGCCACTCAGTATCCTTAGAGGTTTCAGAGAAGACTGTGTGACATAAAATGTCAAGGAACTAGTATGTGATAAGGTCCGAAAAGTGCCTTGTCTCTTCCGTTACTGTCTTTTCCCATATACCTACTGGTGAGAACAGAACAATTTGCAAATTCCCCTTTACTGGTTAGTTCCTCCATCAGGCAAAAGGTGAGGTTATGGACAGTTCTAGAAAACTATCACAACCCCGAGGCACAATGGCAGTCAGCACTTCATGACTGATTCCAGTTAACACTGATTGCAGTATTTTCATTAAATGTATGTATGGTAAGGTTGTTTTGTCCCCAGAATCAGAGAAATAACCAGACTCCAGGACTGAGGGCTCCCTGCTTGCATCTCTCCAGGTGTAATGGAGTAAAACAGAACTTTAAAGCAAAAAGAAAAAGAGGGGAGAGGAGGAAGGAAATCCGCCCTGGGGTGGGTAGGGGGAAGGAGCTGGGAATTGAGCCAGGTTCTCCTCTCCCATCCCTGCTCCTCCTACCCATCCCTCTCTCCCTTTAGACAAAGTCAACAGGAGCCAAAAGCACCTCCAAGACTCCAAGGCCAAGAAGTGACGAATAAACCTAATTCCAAAAATGTTCAACCTTACTGATAATCCGGGTTATGTAATTAAAATAATAAGCTAAACCTTGGAAGTAGTGGTAGGCTCTTGTCTGTTGGGGCCTCTGGTTTGTATAATTTGAGGGTCCTCTTTGAGAAGAAAGAGACTGCAGTCTTATCTGATAGCACTAAAATACCTTACTTTTGTCAAAATTTCAAAAACCTCAGTGAATACCTTCCTAGGTCTATCCCGGAACCTTGAAAGGACCCAGAATGAGGTGGGGGTTGGGGACTGAAGTGTAAGCCTCATTGGTTTCAGGGCGAATGCAGCTTTGCCCAGGAGGGTTTTAAACATGGGAGGGATGCAAGTAAGAAACACCATTAAATGAGTTTTCCTTTATGCATTTGTCATCGCAATGTGTAATTATCTGGTTATGTCTCAGAACATGAATGATTCAGATTTATATTTTATTTTAAATGACCAAAGTAGTCCTACTCTACTAACAGAAGATGGGAAACCTGAGGGTAATCACTTTCCGTGATCTTTACGAAGGAAATATCCAAGTGCATATATTATCATTTTGTTAATAAAATGGTAATATATCAAAAGCAAATGTGATGTTCACCTTTTCAAAGTTATGGGCCCACTGCAGGTTAACCATATTCTTACTTTCAGG